CTGCTTGGCTAGACGTCCGAGAGGACAGTGAGCATGGAGGCTGCGGGCACAGCGTTCATGGGGGTTTCAGAGGTGCCATAAAAGACATCACGGAGCTTTTTTGTCCATCTGGGATGCTCTCAGAACTACCAGGATTTCAGAAACGGATTTTTATAAGGAAGACAACAGAATGCATTGGAAAGAGAATGAACAAACACCTCTGTCAGACAACCCTGGGCTCGAATCCCAATTCCTCCAAATTCCTAGCTCTGGACCTTGGGAATGTAACCCAACCTCTCTGAACTTTCTTTGTCTTCTGCATAAAACGGCCCAAACTGAGCCTCCGGCCCATGAATACCTCAGTAGCACTCAGGCCATCGGTGGGCAGCATTGTTTCTAGGGCAGTGGATCCTGGCCTCCCAGAAAGTGTGGCTCAGGAGTTCTCCACCTTCAGCTAGGACCTGAGTCCTGCGGGGCTCCCAGCAGGTCAAGCTCAAACCCTAGCAGGGTAACGTGAACTCTTTCACCAGTCGTGCGACCCTGAACACGCTCCTTCACCTCTCCTTGCCTCAGTTTCCTGATCTGTAAAATGGGGCTCCGTTAAACAGTAAGACAGTAAAAGGCTGGGCTGTGAGGAGTGTTGTGAGGCTTAAATGAGGCAGTGCCTGTGAAGAGCTCGGGACCTGTGCTGACCAGGGTAAAATCCGAGGAGACAGTACAACCCTTCCTGGAACTCCTGCCAGGCAGGAAGTACAATGCTTCCAAAAGTTACCCCGGACGGCCAGATGGAGGGGCTTCGAAAGCAAATACGTCCTGGGACCCAAGGGGCTAAACGTCTGAAAAAACAACTAAAGCCAGTTATGGCATAATCAGGCTTCAGGAGACAGACAGAACTGCAGCTCGTTTGCTCTGCGTGGATCAGATCGAGAGGAAAGCTTCGGCAGGTAGTGTGACCCGGGGGCAGAAGAGAAAAGGCTTCCAGATCCTTGCAGCCCCCACCCGCGCATGCGCACACGCACTCGGAAGGTAAATGACTCGCTGTTTGCCCAGCGGCCTCGGTGTCTCCCTTCCCCACTGGCCTTCTAATTCCCTGCTTCGGCTCCAGGCTGCTTTCCACCCTGGCTCATCTGGCTCCAGTGACACCTCACAAGACTGCAGATTGATCTGTTCTGTCCCCAGCGCTGCAGGGCTGATGGCCCAGGCAAGTCCCTTAATGGTTACTTTTAGAAGCTGTACGCAGGACAGCGCTCAGCGAGGTGGAGATAACGTCTGGGTAACTAGGAGTTTGGCTGGTTAGCACCTGCATCTGCATAGCCTGATAGGGGAACTAATAAAGCTTTCTTGAGATGGGCTTTCACTTCGGTGCAGTCAGAAGGACCTTTAAATAAGAGGGAAATGATAATGAGTTTTCCTTAGTTGGTATAAGGAAACAGATGCTCAGAGAGGTTAGTTAACTTTTTCAAGAACACAGAGCTTGAATCTGAACCCAGACTTCTCTCTCCAAAGGCAATGCTGTGTCTCCTAAGCCCCTGACTTAAGTAGCACGGCTGCTGACAACAGGTTTTAATTAAGATGGTCCTTCTACCGGGGACATTATGTCCTTTCCTTATTTTTCTTTTGTGCTGTGGGTCATTATTTATTTATTTTTGTTTATTTTTAATTAAAAAATTATTTTAAATAATTTCAAACCTGAAGTAAAATTGCAAGAATAGTTACAAAAAACTCCTATAACACTTTACCCAGAGTCATAACTTTCTTTTTTTTAAAACTGTCTTATTATTTTATTAAGGAATCCACGTCTGTGACTGTCATGAAGCCCGGGCTGAGTTAACGGTGACGAGTTTTGGAGGTAACTACACCCAACTCTGGACTTTATGGTTATAACCACTGTCTTCTTTCTCTACGTCAACAAAAACCTAGACTCATGGGGCTTCAATCCATGTCCTCCTATTCCTAGAAGATGCCAAAGCCAACTGCGTTAAGA